TTTGCTGTTCTTGCCAGATGTTTGAAGGAGAAGCTGACTGCTCTGGGGCAAACCTCACTTGATGATTTGGATTTGACTGCTGAACTGAAACTGGACACTGAACTTGTTGAGGAATTGTGCCTTGGAACTGCTTAGCTTAAACTTGGATTTACATTGGGTGATATTCATTGCCTCTCCCATTCTCCCACTTACTTTCCTAATAAACCTCATTCTCAATTCCATAACTTTGAGCCTGTGAGTCAACAATGAGTAAAATAACATCTTGCTGTTGGTGGGACTCTGCAGGCCCCATGGGGCTGAGCTATGGACTCTTTATCTGCTGTGGAGCAGTGAGGGGCTGTGTTATTCTCATTCTCTCTGATCCTTTCAGAGAGACATTCATGTCCCTGTCCCCCCATGACCTGTTTTCCCTCTTTCAGACAGTGTCTTTATACGATATCTTGATTTTTTGGTAGGACAAGTTCTTTCACAGAGTTAAATTTAAAATTTTTTTAAAATTATTTGCTTTTCTGTATTATTTTGGAGTCAGTATATCTTGTTCCACCTAAATATCTGTAATATATTTATTGTATTTCTGTTATGTATGCATAAGCTATTAAACACATTATATAGAATGTTATTTGTTGTTGTTGTGTGCCATTATTATTTATTTATTTCCTTTTATTTATTTTTAAATCTGTTTATATTCCTTTCCCTGTATTTTCATAGCATTTATATTCATTCCTTGTTGTCACATCAAACTGTTATATACTTTATTATTAATTAAGGCTAAGCTATTCTTATTGTAGTTAAAAGCTGATAAATTGACAATAACTCATAGTGATCCTGTGAACAATGATTCTGAACCTCGCACCATCCTGGGCTAACCTCACTACCCATGACACATCTGACCTCATTGCCACAATTACTGTGTCAGTCCATCTCACCCAGAATCTTCCTCATCTGCACTGACCCTCTCTCTACCTTTCCACGAACGATGTCCTTCTTCAAGGACTGGTCCCTCCTGGTAACACGTGCATAGTTTGTGAGATGGAGCTTCCCTGTAGAATTTCTTTAGAGAAGATCACTGTCACATCTGTCTTCTGCAGAATGGTTGGTGAGTCCAAACTACTGATTTTTCAGGTAGCAAGCAGCCCAATACTTTAACCACTTGCCTAGGAGACATGAAGGCAAAGGGCTGTGAGTATTTTTCTAAAAGGGCCAGAGGGAATGAGAATAGCATAGTTTCTTACTACCCTAGAGTATAATGCAGATGAGGAGCCCATAGCCCAGCCCCATGGTACATCTAGAGCCACACCAGTAGCAAAAGATTTGTTGGTTTGTTGTTGACTCACAGATTTTACTCATAGCTGTGGTAACAAGAATGATGTTTATTAGGGAAATACATTGGAGAGTAGAGGAGGCAAAGAGTATCACCCAGTGCAAATACAGATGTCAGCCCAGCAGTCCCAACGAACAACTCTTCATGCTCCAGTTTCAAATCAACAACATAATTTCAAGAAGCCTCTGGTTTCCTCAATCATCCAGAAAGATTTGCCTGAGAGCAGTTACACTACAGCTTCTCCTTAATTATCTGACATGCACAGCAAAACCTTTACCTGTGGTATTTATCTCTGGGCTCCTCTGGTTACACCTTACTACAGTTTCTCCACAATATTGCCACAGTTTCTCCACCACCATCACCAGGGTCTTGCCACGAGGGTCTTGTTCTGGTCTCACTCAAGTCTCCCTCAAGTCTTGCTGCTGCTGTGGGAAGCACTCTCTCTATTACCCTAGTCCCATCATTGTTGATGGTTTGTAAGACCATGTGTCTACGGTTAAGGTAGCTGGAGACCAGAGAGGACTAAAATAATGATTACAAAACCCCTAACGTTAGACTTTTTTTTTTAACATGACAGCCAACCCTCTGGCTGTTCCAACCATTATTTCTCATTATCTAAAGGATCAGCCTTCCCCTTACCATCATATATTTTTAGGGAAGTATGTAAGCCAGCTGCTTTACTCCATATGTCTTAGTCTCCCCATTTTAGATAGTAAATTTCTTACTCTCCTACTCCTGTCCAACCAGTACTCTGAGGGAACAACCATGCTTTTTTTCTCTAATGCATCTTCTGTTGCAGTTAAATCTACATCTATAAACAAAGACCCAGTCTATCAGGCAATATTATTCAACACTAGCTCATAGAATGAAAGATCTCTTCATCTGGATGGATTTTGGTTGACACATCCCCTGCCATCCATAGCTAGGTCGAAATGGGCACCAGCCACAAATTCAAGCATCCACACTTTTTCTGTGTTTCAAAACGGCAAGTCTCCCTTACTCAACTTTAGCCCCATGTGGGCCAAGCCAACTCATTAGGGATCCCCAGGACTCCCTGTTCCACAAACCAGCAATCTTTCTTCATATATCCATTCATCATGATAGGTGGACAGCGCTGAAGGAATAGATCCAAATTCAGCCTGTCTCTTCATTACTGTATACCACTACATCACCATTGCTTCTTATGGCTATTAGAATTTCTTTAATTTGCATATTGATCTTGTATCTAGCACCTCTACTAAGTTTTGTAGTTCTTGATGGTTTGTAGATGCTCTTGCATTTTTAATGTAGACCACCATCTTTTCTGTATGAAATGGCATTTTAAATCTTTTCATTTTTGTGCATCTTATATATATTTGTTTCTTTTTCTTCCTTTCTCTCTTATTTATTACACTGATTCATTATTGCTTAGTAGTGAGGTCAGTAAGCATCTATGTCTTCAAGTTGTCTTTACAATTGTGTTAATTCATTCTCTTGATAAGACACATTCTCCTCCCTTCTTTGAATTAACATTAAGCATTTTCAGTGTAGTTAGCTGAAGTTGAGGTGTAGAGTGTGTTTATATAATGAGAAAAATTTGTTATGTCTATAAGAGTACTCAAAGTTAACCTTATTATAACTTCTTAAAAAATTCTTTTATGTTCATGTTGCTGTGAACTGTAGAATCGGAATCAAGCCATAGCTGACCCTCTGGTGGGTTTTCAGAGTCAGTTATTTGCACAGGAGGAGATGCCCATCCTTCTTCAAGTAGAGCAGCTGGTAGTCTCAAACTGCATGCCACAGCTCCCTGCCACTAGGCCACGGAAGCACCCCTTTCTAACTTTTTGAGCCAAGCCCTCCACATGCCTTATTAGTCACTCTGGAGATGTATTGAAAAGAATTTCATTTAAAAGTATCAGTTACAAGTTGTTTTGCTCTATTTGAAATGTCTTACCATTGGAAATAGAAATTTATATGTCTGGGCATTCTTCCAAATACTCATTGTTCAAATTGGTTTTGTTTTGCAATTTCTTTTTATAGACACCTATGAACCAAGCATCAACTCGTTCCCACTGCATTTTCACTGTTCACTTATCAAGCAAAGAACCAGGATCTGCAACAGTCCGTCATGCCAAACTCCACTTGGTCGACCTGGCTGGTTCAGAACGAGTGTCGAAGAGTGGAGTAGGGGGCCTGCTTCTCACAGAGGCCAAGTATATCAACTTGTCACTACATTATTTAGAACAGGTAAAATAAAATGACATGGCTATAGTGACCATTTGTGGAATTATCACTGTGTGTTAAGTCTTCTGTACCAATTTGCCTAAAACATTTAATATAAACATCTCAACCTCGCTGTGAAGTATATTTTGAAAGTTAGATTAAGTAATATCTCTAGGTTACCCAATAGTGGATGGGTGAGGATTTGAACCTAGATTTGATTGGCTCTAAAATTTTGTCTTCTTTCTTCACTACTCTGTGCTTCATTCTCTTTAATTTAAAATTACCAAGGTGTATGAATATAGGTTATAAATGGTCACTTTAGACAATTTTTTTCAGACAAATGAATCAGCTATGGTAACATAACTTAAAGATGACCAATATGTTTTTTTAGCTCCTGATGGCTTCATCTAGTTGGTTATTTGAGACCCTATGGTGGGTTGTGGTGTTGTTTTTTTTTTTCCTTCTTATAGCTTCTCCTCACTCCAAGTTGACTATAATCCAAACCAGTATATACTATAAATTTCCTTTAATTTTCTAAATCTGTCTACAAGGGAAGACATAGCTAATTTCAATTTTTAATTTAGCCAAATATATCTTCTAGAGGAAAAACCTCTTTAAAATGAGTGGACTTAATTAGATGATTTCTCAAGTTCTTTTGTTGTTATTACAAGTTCTGTGAATTGAATGTTAAAGGTGGCAACTACTTCCGAATTCTAACAAGGCTAGGGGGTGGGGGGCAGGCTTGTGATAATAAAAAAACTAGAGTGGGGAAGTATATTGATGAGGTGGAAAGACTTGTTAATGAATGTTGGAAGCTAATTTTAGCTCCCTAATGAACCCTTTTGAGACTGATGTTCTTATGCTGAATGCTTTGTAATAATGGTCCAGTGGGCTGAAAAAGACCAATTGAGAGAAACCCACGAGAGCTCTGTCTGAATAAGGTACATAGGTAGACCTGGACCAAATGAATCCCAGCAATGCAGTACCCAGTGATTAAAGACTGCAAGGCATTCAGATGAGGGTAGTGTTTCTGACAAGAGTCAGCCTTCCTGACTCTCTTTGTGCTTAGCTATTACTCACTTCTTATACTAAACTGAGCTTTTTACTGAATAAGACACTCATCAGACATTGATATGAAAGCAAAATGGACTATATTCACAGTGCTTTATTTCAAAGACATCTCCATAGTGTCCAGTTTAATTCCTATTATGTCTATCTTTTCATATGAAAATATATTCATCCATTCAGACTTTCAACCAGTAATAATCATTCAAGAGAAAGAATTCTGCCCCAAATCCTATTTATCCTCATCCTACACAACCTTTGCAAGATACTCCTTGTCACTGAAGCTATTCATTTTTTCAATATCTGTTCTCTACAAATGTCTAGTGATGTCAGTAGTGTTGGTAGCTGTGATTTTTCTCTATAAACATACATTAATATAAATTTTCATACAGAAATAGAAATAAATATTCCTATATAATAAATAAACTAAAAAAAATAAGCCTACAACCTCATTGCTAAGGAGTCAGAATCAAGTCATAGTTGACCCTCTAGTGAGTTTTCAGAAGTCATAAATTGCATGCAGTGAAATGGGTAATTTTTCTCCAGTGGAGCTACTGGTGGGTGCCAATCAGGAGAGAAGTGCCACATTTAGGTTAGCAGGACAACTTCATATGGACTATACCACCAGAGCTCCCTCAGTATTCTTATTTTATATGTATGTGAAGGGAACTTTGGTGGCCGAGTGGTATGACACTATGCTGCAATCCCAAAGGCACATGAGCAGCTCTGCAGGAAAATCTTGCGTGCATGAGATCACATCAGGCAGTGGAAACTGGACAGGCTGAGTGAACATATCAGACATAGTCCAATGGAATTGACCCACTCAGGGTCTCAAAGCCATTCACGATTGTGAATGCAATGTATCTTTTCCCACCATCATCTAACCTCATCTCTGTAATCGTTAACTCATTATACTCTTATACATTGTCTTCACAGCCAAGACTAGGTTTACAGCCTAGAAAAATTGAGAGAGATTAGCACAAGTGAAAAGATGAATATGTCCTTTATCTGAACATGGATATATGGGTTGACATAGTCTAGGAGTAGTTGCTAGGAAGCAAGAAGCAAGGTAGAAGGTAAATTTGAAAATTCAGAGCAAATAGAAATGGATAAGTGAGAGAAAATAAAGAGGTGCATACAGATAAGAATAATAAAGAGTAGGCAGATACTTAATGGAGTAACAGAATTAAGGGCTTTTATAATTAAATTTTCTTTATGTAATACTTTATTATGTGGCTAATGAGACCAAGAGTGTAACACAATTTAGCTTAATTAGTCTTATTTCTTCATTTATTCATTCAACAAAGTGTGATTGAGTGTTCCCTGGGTGCTATGAGATATGATAGGTAATCAGAATATATGCATGACTGAGAAACAGTCTGTGATACCACATTCTCCAGAGACAGAGCAAAGCATAAAATTGAAAAATACATGTGACAGAGTAAGGTAAGTGCTGTAATTGAAATTCACATACAAGTGTCAATCATTTTATCCCCTCTCTCACTTTCAAAACATACTGTCAAGATGGAATTGGCAATAGGCCATTTGGCAACCTATCTCACATCAATTAGGACATATTGTTTCTAGAAATTCCATGCAGAGTTGCAATTGTTCTGCTGCCCATAATTTTGAGACCTCACACCTGCTAGCAAGATTTCAGCCTTTTAAGCTGAATGCACCTCATTGTGCTCCTACATAAAATAGCTTTATATTTGCCAGAGCATTGTTGAGTTTGGAGTCCTCTTTGTGCATACAGTACTTTTTCCAAAAATTTTTCCTCAAAAACATTTTAAACCACAATAACAGGGTACATCTTGGCCCTGGAAGTCGAGCCCGTGGAGCAGAAGGAAGACGTGCAAGTTTGTTGTACCTGTAACCCTCCCGAGTGGCCTCCAAGTGACCCCAGTCTCTATCAGCCCCAACATCAAGTGAGAAACCACTGAGAATGGAGAATGTTTGCTCTCTACCTCGTCAGAAATCAGAAACTGAGCTCCTCTTAGTTGGATTTCTGACTGCATGGGGACTTTTACACAGTTTGGTTTCCATTTGGCTCCCACTGACTGTGTTGTGTATGGAAGAAAAACTAACGGTACCTGTGCCAGTAGTAACCATTCTGAAATTTCTGTCAGTTTTCAGAGGATGATTTTCCATCTCCTTTTCAGTTCCTTCAAAAATAATCTCTTTAGCTCACTAAATAGTAAACCAAATCATTGGTTCCATGCAGGGCCTCTAGATACTTGAAGATATTATTAAAGATAATAGAAGGTTCTACTCTGTTGCTTTAAAGAGCAGCTTTGTGAATATTTTTCACTGTGTGTAAACATGAAATCCAAAATGGAAGTAAACATAAAAAAAGGAACAAACTGGAATCAAGCTAAGAAGCTCTAGTCCAAGGTATAAAGAGATTGCCAAACACAACCAGAAATGCACAGTCTAAAGAGGATAACATTGATACATGGGACTTTCTAAAGATTAACTCTCTATGCACATAAAAAAAACTTTTCCCAACAGGGTGAAAAGAAAACCTACAGATTGGGAACAAACATTTGGTAATATCTCAGACAAGAGTCTTACAACAAAAGTTTGCAAAATACTCCTGGGCCTCCACAAGAAAAAGACTGATACCCCAATTACAAAATGGGCAAAAGACATGGAAAGAATTTTCAGAGGAAGATATTAAAATGGCAAACAGATACATGAAGAAATGCTCCAAACCACTGGCAATAAGAGAGATGCAAATCAAAACCACAATGAGGTACCATTTCACTCCAGTAAGAGTGGCAAAGTTTATCATGGCAACAAATAAAAAATATTGGAGAGGATGTGGTGAGAAAGGAACTCTTATACATTGTTGGTGGGATTGTAAAATGGTGCAACCATTCTGCAAGGCAATTTGGCAATTCCTCAATAAAGCTGAACATAAAAATTCCATATGACCCAGCTATTCCACTACTTGGTATACCCTGAGAATATGAGAACTGAGGCACAAACTGAGATTTGTACACCAATATAGAGAAGTTCTTTATTCACCATCATAAGAACATGGAAACAGCCCAAATGTCCACCCATGAATGAATGGATTGAGAAATTACGGTACATTCACACAATAGAATACTTTGCAGCACGCAGGAGCAATAACTTTGTAAATTATTACCTAACTTGGGAGGGACTAGAGAGCATTATGCTGAATGAGCTAACTAAGTCCCATAAGAATAAATATTATATAAAACCATTATTGTAGAAAGAGTATAAGGATCCAGGATGGGTAGGAAGCAGAGGGATGTGGATGTGCAGGGGGAAGGGAGGATTAATCATTAGGTTATACAATTTGATGGGTGTATGGGTGAGGGAAATTGAAAGAATTTGTTCAAATTGGTTTTTTACTTTTTTAAACAAGCTAATAGAAAAAATAAAAAGGATGTTTGTATGAATATCTTCTTAACACATTTTATTCAGAAGATAATTAGAATCTGGCCTTTAGAGAAGAATATTATGTTATTGGTAAAATTAGGGGAGAGTAAGCAAAACAGAAGACTGCCCTCAACCAAATGGATTGACACACTGGCTGTCATGATGAGCTCAAGCACAGTGGTGATGGTGAAGAATGATTGAAGATCCAGCATTGTTTTCTGTGCCGGTGTACATGGTGTTGCTTTTAGGTGCCATTGAGTTGAATACAACTCAGAGTGACTCTGTGAACAGGAGATCTGAACTCTGTTCTATCCTGTGCCATCCTCATCATCTCTGTCACACTTGAGTCCATTGCAGCAGTCACTGTTCAGTCCATCTCGTTGAGATTCTTCCTTTCTTTCACTGCTTCTCCCCATTTCTAAGCTTGATATTCCTCTCCAAGGAATAACCTCTCCTAGAAACATGCCCAAAGTGCGTGAGATATAGCTTCCTCATCCTTGCCTCGATGGAGCATTCTGGCTGAAGTTTTTTTCGAGACATATCTGTTTGTTATTATGGTCACCCATGGAATGTTCAGTAATTTTAACTAACACCGTAACGCAAAGTCATCAATTCTTCTCTCACCCTTATTCAATGTCCAGCTTTCAGATGCATAGCAAGTGATTGAAAAGACTGTAGCCTGAATCAGGCACAACTTAGACTTCAGACTAACATCATTGCTTCTCCGTAATTTGGAGAGTTCCATGACAGCAGATTTCCCAGTCACTATCCCTGTTGTATGCACATAGAGTTTCCAGATTTAAAAAGTTTGAAGGGATCTCTAGTAGCTTAACTGTAAAGAGTTACACTGCCATGCGAAAGTCAGATGATTTGAATTCATCATCCACTCCAAGAAAGAAAGATGAACAGTCTCCTCCCGTACAGGGTACAGCCTCTGAAAACACACCTGAAGGTGAGCTGAGTTTGTTCTGACTCACTGGAACATAACAACAACAGAATAGCTCTCCCTTTATTCCTGGGATGCTCTGAGGATTTCTATTTACTCCAAACAGGCTATGCTTATTATGATATTTCTAAAGCTCCTGGTATCAGCCTTTAGAGCTGGTGAGTTACTTCCACAGAGTCCTGTTTGAAATAAATCGCCCAGGCCTTGTTTATATACTGAAAATAAGTCTCAAAAGGGATTCTAAATTGCCCCAACACTTCTCCACAACACTGAACTTTGGATTTACCAAAAAATAACATCCCGCAAACTGTTACATTGATCTTGAAAACATTTCTGTGAGACACACACACATTCCTGCATATAAAGAAATATAATTTCAAGTAGAGAAGACTATTAGAAGGAAAAAAAATTAGAGTAGTAGCAGGCTGGAAATATGAGTGTTACTTCTGTCAAGAATATTTAGAGGAGCTCTGGTGGCCTAGTGACAAGAGGCTGCACTGCAATCCCAGAGGAACACGGTTCGAATCCACCAGATGCTCTGCCGGAGAAGGAGGCGCAATATCCTCCTGTACCAGTCAGATCTGATTTGACGGTACA